GTTTGTCTCATCCTTGTAAGCTAAAACATCTCAAACAGATTTTGTTCTTTTGAAAAATAATAGACCTCCTGGTTGGATCACCAAGTGAAAATAGAAGAAAGAAAGCCTAAAAAAGCTAATGCAGACATCACATGGTTCAGGTGCCTTTAGGTGTGTTTAGGTCCATCAAGTTTTTGGGGTGTTTATATCATAGGCCAGAATATTCTTTTATTCTAGCCACTGAAATTAAAAAACAGTCAAGCGCTAAACGCGCCTAGCGCTTAGGCATGTTTACCCTCATTTAGGTGCATTAGGCATTTTTCTGACAAAACACTCTTCTTTTGAACGCACAAGTGATTTTTTTTTTTGTGGCTCAAAACTCCTGTAAATACCTACAGTGTACATGGACACATAGACTAACATGGAGGGATGCTAGCGTTGTGTGCAGGCGGCAGAGAGGCGTTTGGGAAGCGTTTTTACCGCTTCCCAAATGCCTCTGACAATTCTGCACATTGCAGCACATGGTGCTGTTCTAACGGGAGCAGTAGCGTCGCGGCAAAACGGACACCTCTGGTCAAATCAGGAGGCGTTGAAGCCTCCTATTCTAGTCTATGGTGCCGCTCCGCAAAGGCCTGCGTTTGCGGGGCGTTTGCGGAGCGGTAACACCATTCAAACTTCTTTATAGGCGTTTGTGGGGCGTTTTTAACGCTCGGCAAATGCCTAGCAACTGGCGCTAAACCGTGCATGCGGCGTTTTCGGAGCGTTAAAAAACGTTCCGCAAACGCCAGACCAACGATTGCCAAATGCTATAGGGGCGTTTGGTAAGTGTGGTAAAACAGTCAAGTGTGAACGAGCCCTTAGAGAAAAAAAGGCAAATGTATAAAACAGACGTTTTTGATATCAAGTGTGCATGAGGCCTTAGGGACAGTGGATTCCTGTGGTTGGGATCACAGGTATATGACAACAGCTGCAGCCGAGAAGCCTGTGCAAAGCAATGACAGGTCAACAGGAGCCACCACTGTTCCCATATATCATCCTGTTGAGCAATTACAGGCAGTTAGGGACAGATGATCAGCCCTGGACAAAAAATCCAGGGCTCACCATTAGTCCCTAACCACTGGATGTGTGGATACTTGTGAATATTGAAAATGGCTCCTTTTCAGAGGCGTCCCTAGGGTTGGTGTCACTTGGTGCGGTAACACGTGGTGCCACCCCTCCAGAGAGCAAGGAACGGTGTCGGTGTAGCAGTAAAATGAGTATCCCGGACCCATGAAGATATGTATCTTCCTTGAAGCAACTGAGCATGTGCTGGTTTCAGGCTGAAGAAGCCAATCTCCGACTGTAACACAGAGCTGCCACAATTAACCCCTTACAGGCTGCAAACCGCTGAAACTGATCCCGTGGGTCACTATGGGTTGCAAGATCAGTTAACCCCATATAGGTTCAACCCTGTCACTGTGCTAGGAATCCAGGATCACTCCAATAACTGGCCAAGACCTTCACAGATTCTAGAAGCTCTGCTGGCATCCTGCTCCTGCACCCCCTGTGATGGTGTCACCCTGTGTGGCCCGCACCCCCCTAAGGACGCCACTGCTCCTGTTAGCCTGTCATTGCTTTGTACAAGCTTTCCAGCCACATCTGTTTGCATAAACCTGTCATTCCAGCTACAGCAATCTTCTGTCCAGCTCCTATTGCAGGTGTGAAGAAACCCTAAAAATGATCTCTGTTTAAAGCTAAACTGTAGGCATGCATAAAAGATATAAATGTACAAATAATGCAGCTCTGATATCATGCTGACATTATTACAATTCTTTTCTTTTCCATGTAAGCAGTGTAAGTACCTGCATTTGATCTGGTGTGAGCCTCTAGCAGCCCCTGTTTAGCAAAGCTGGAGTGTGGGAGGAAAAAGTAGTAGAAGAAGCCAATCAATTCATGGGCTGACAAGAGGCATGCCGATAGAAGGAGAGAGCAGTGACAGATGGATGAGCTCCTCATTGTACTTCTTCTCCTTTCACTGTGCAGTCACAGTAGACAGTTCCAGGACAACCTGGGCTCAGAGAAAGTAGGTTGAATGATGCTTGCCATCAGGCTGGGGACATCTTGTGGCAGAAACAAAGTATTTCTGGGGAGAGCTCTGGATTAAAAGTGAATGTTGCAACAAAAGCTGATTTTTTTAAAAAAACATTTTACCTTGGAGCTCATCACTATTCTTCTCATTTCACTGTCCAGTCCCAGTCTGGAGGTAGGTGCAGGGCAACTGGGACTCAGGAGAAGTGTGTTGACTGACGCTGGCCATAAGCCTGGGGACATCTTGAGGCAGAAAAGAAGTACTGCTAGGAAGAGCTCTGGATTAAAAGTGAATTTTGCAACAAAAGCTGATTGTTTAAAATTTTATCTTGGAGCTCATCGCTATGCTTCTTCTCATTTCACTGTCCAGTCACAGGCTGGAAGTAGGTGCAGGGCAACCGAGACTCAGAAGAAGTGTGTTGAATGATGCTGCCCATAAGCCTGGGGACAATTGAGGCAGAAAAGAAGTACCGCTGGGGAGAGATCTGGATTGAAAGTGAGTATTGCAACAAAAGATGTTTTTTTAATTTTTTTTTTTTTTCATGGGCTATTCATTTTTTATCATGTCATTTTTGCTTGCTTTAATTTTCCTTGCACATGATTGGGTATTCGTGAAGATTCACTTTGCAAAGTGTGCCTACACTTCCCATGGTGAAGACTGACAGCCTCTATCCCTTTAGTAAATGAACTCTAATACTGTTCTCCCTGCAATCGATGGCTTGTCTCGCCCTTGGGGATTTCCATCTACGTCCATGCGTCCTCTCCACACTAGTGATCACACATTCCGCCAGCGCTGTCATACAGAGTGAGCTGTGCTGCGCCTCCTCCCTGCAGGAGCTCCACACACCTCCACCAAGTGAGTGGAAGAAGGCAGACAGAGAGGGTGTGGGAGAGCTCAGGGCGGGAGGGCAGAGCTCCTGAACTGCTTTCACTCCTTCTGCTGCTCACAAATACTTGCTCAATCAGTGCTGTGCAGAGCAATCACAGTGTAGGCTAAGCTGGAGCTAGATCCATTGAAGCTATGGGCTAGAGGACACACACAGCCTGGCCACCCCTAGTCCAGTCCCCTGGCTGACCATAGCTATGGGGGCATTGCTGTCTAGCACAGAGCCTGGACCCAGCATACACAACCACTGTGGACTGATCACCTGTGGATCTTAGAACTTTTCCTTGAGTACTTTGGAAACCGTCACTGATCTGCATTACTGCTGTTACATCGGAGCTGCGTTGATGTGATTTAACCTCTGCACCACCACCAGGCAGGAGGATGCTTCCTAGCTGTAGGTAAGTCTACGGAAGGCATCACAAGGATGCCCTGTCTGCCCAAACACTGGAAACTCCCAAACAAGGGTCTTTCTTTTCAGCCATGTGACATAATGATTAAATCTTATTGGACTCAGCTGGAAAGAACTGTCACTTTTTTTTTTTTTTTAAATAAGTAACTTTTGATTCCAAGTCAACTTATCCTGTTGTGTTTGGATTGAATGTTTAATCACATGTTTTTAGTATGTTAGGAATATCACGTACAAAATAATTGCCCTGCCAATAAAGGTCGTTACAAATTAATGAACAACTCATTTATCCCAGAGGCATGCACCTGGAAAAGATAATTTACATGAAAGGAGCTCGTGCTATGTGCGAGAATGTGAGTAAGAATGCAAATGTTCTGATGGTGAACTGGCACTTCTCTGACTTACTACCTTCCCGGACTTCATTGCAGGGGGATGGTTGAAACCTTTAAAGGTGTGAATAAGGTTCAGAAGGGTAGTGTATATATATTATATATAGGAAGCTCATAGCACAGATATGACCTCAAGGTAACAAGAGGAGAGTTGAAGAGTAATAATTGAAAGCAATATGTTACTAAAAGAGTAGTAGATTCTTGAAGTAGACTTCCAGTAGAGGTAGCATGTCAATCCAGAATAAGAGAATTGAAATGTGTTGGGTCTAATGCCGGCCATAGACTGTTCGAAAATCGGCCGATTTTTCGGGCGAGAAAAAAATCGGTCGATTTTCGCACTGTTATCGCGTTAATTGGTCAGCCTTTTTTCCGTTTTTTTTGCACTTTGAGATTATCGGTCATGTTGGAAAATTTGCGGGCGATTTGGACGATTTTTCCGGCAATGATGGCCAAATCGGCCGATCGTTTTTAACGATAAAAAATCAGCGCATGAGCCGTGACCTGCAAGGGACAGAAGTTATGGGGTGAACTTTGATTTAGTTGGCCGATTTTTTTTTTTTTTTCTCTCTAAACCGTTGGTGGTAACGTCGGCCGAACGAACTACCGGTTTTTCGTTTATCGTTCGAAAAATCGGCCGATGTTTGACCCGTCTGTGGCCTGCATAAGTTTAGGTCTATACTCCTATAAAAAGACAATCCCATAAAAAGTAATCATTTTATCTTTTTTTTGCCATCAGGCGCCTAGTTTCCATATTACCTTATTGAAAATTTTTTTTTTTAAATATGGGAGTAAATTTTTTATCCTGAAGTGCTAACAATTAAAGTAAGATGTTGACATGAGGTCCCGTATTTGCTTTTCTCCAATGTATGGCAATTGGCCAAAGAGTTCCTGCGAGATAAAGTTCTGGAAAGCAAAATTTGCATGATTTTCAGAACTGACAACTCCCAGATTATGTACTTTTATCCTGATGTAGACCTCTATGTATAAAAAATTCATTTCAGCAACTCCTTGATCTTTATCGAGCTTACCATCATTGAAAATGAAATGTAACTTGTTTAGAAGTGAGGGATTGCTGTCCTTTTGTTTCCTTCCACCGGTTGGAAGCAGCAATTAAATCGTTAATTGGTACATGATGTATTCTGATTCTTCTTTTGAACTACTAACACCTAAGCACAGGGGCGGACTGACCATTCAAGCACTCGGGCACTGCCCAAGGGCCCCGGGGTCAGTAGGGGACCCCATGAAATGCCCCTGGTACCTTTTTTTTTTATAGGTTTTTTTGAGTGTGCTTTGAGTGTGGGCAAGGACACAGGGGCCCCATGATCCCCTATCGCCCGGGGGCCCCATGAGTTGTCAGTCCGCTTCTACCTATGCATTTTTAGTTTCTACTTGGCTGAATATAAATTGAAAGTATCCTTTATTTACACACCTCTGCATGTTGCGATTGATGCGTTTTTATTGCATTTTGTGTTTTTTTTTGTGTTTTATTTTGCCAATAGGAAATTTACTTTAATGTCACTTTGATGCGACTTTCATGTGCTTCTTGGATGCGACTTTGAATGGGTGCGACTTGGATGCTAATTTACTCTTACTTAAGTGCTAGAGAGTCGCATAAAAGTCGCTATACCTGAACACAAGTCCTAGTTTTCTATTAAACAAAAAAGTTGCTTTAAAGTCCCACACATCCAAAGTCACACCAAACTGGCATTAAAGTCAATACTTTCCTATTGGTGAAAAAAAAAAATGCATAAAAAATGCACTACATGTGTTTCTGCTGCATGTCCATTGAAGTCTATTGCAGCAAAAACGCACTGTCTGAAAAAATGCATAGATGTGAACATGTCCCATAGGAAACTATGTGAAATGCACAAAAAAAAACAAAAACAAAGGTGTGAGCCAGGCCTTAGGTAGGGTCTTGCATAACGAAGTTGATGGAGATTGCACCATTGGATTGCCACTTATATGTACATATATTGCCAGCTGTACTTTTATCTTGCTGCTCAGTGATCAGTGTTAGAATACTGCGATATTAATCCTCTAAGTGGGGGCAATATGATGTGTATATATGCAGTCAGGGGAACCAACTAAAATATATGGTAATACATATACATCCCAAAGATTCCATTCAGACCTATCAGATGCAATGTACAGTTGTGCTCAAAAGTTTGCATACCCGGGCAGAAATTGTGAAATTTTGGCATTGATATTGCAAATATGACTGATCATGCCACAAAATGCTCTTTTATTGAAGGATGATGATCATATGAAGCCATTTATTATCAAATCGTTGTTTGGCTTCTTTTTAAATCATAATAACAGAAATCACCCAAATGGCCCGGATCAAAAGTTTCCCTCCGCTGGAATGTTTGGCCTTGGTACAGACACACAAGGTGACACACACGGGTTAAAATGCCAGGTAGAGGTTAATGTCCCACATCTGTGGCTTTTAAATTGCAATTAGTGTCAGTGTATAAATAGTCAATGAGTTTGTTAGCTCTTACGTGAAAGCACTGACTAGGCTAGATACTGAGCCATGGGGATCAGAGAAGGACTGTCAAAAGTCCTGCGTAACAAGGTAATGGAACTTTATAAAGATGGAAAAGGACATAAAAAGATGTCCAAAGCCTTGAATATGCCAATCAGTACTGTTAAATCACCTATTAAGAAGTGGAAAGTTCGGGGATCTCTTGATACCAAGCCAAGGTCAGGTAGACCAAGAAAGATTGCAGCCAAAACTGACAGAAGAATTGTTCAGGATTCAAAGAAAAACCCACAGGCAACCACAAAAGAAAAACAGGCTGCTCTGGAAAAAGATGGTGTGGTTGTTTTTAAGGACTACAATTCGGTGACACTTGAACAAAAATGAGCTGTTTGGTCGAGGTGCCAGAAATAAGCTTTTACTGCACCGATGCCTCAAAAAAGCCCGGTTACAATATGCCTGACAACACCATTGACATGCCTAACCGGGCCTTCTTGTGTCATTGATGCAGTAAAGGCTTCTTTCTGGCACCTCCACCATGCAGCTCGTTTTTTTTCAAGTGTCATCATATTGTACTCCTTCAAAACAACCACACTGTCTTTTTCCAGAGCAGCCTGTATTTTTCTACCTGACCTTGTGGTTACCTATGGTTTCCCTTGTATCCCCGAACAATTCTCTGCAGTATAAAGAGATCCCCGTTTCCCTTTGTAGGCTCCCAGAACAATTCTTCTGGCAGTTGTGTGCAAGCAAAACACCACACAAAAAGTTTAGGGGGTTGAACCGTACCTGACCTTGGCTCCTGACAGGGACATAAAAGGCCTGATCCCCGAACGAAGCCACTTCTTAATAGGAGAAAACCCCCTAGGGAACAGTACTGATTGGCCATATTCCCCCTAAGGCTTTAGACATCTTTAATATGTCCTTTTGAGGAAAATCTTTAATTATAAATCTATTCCATTACCTTTGTGCAAGACACGCAGTTCTACTTTTGATCCCCATGGCTCAGTATCTAGCCCAGCAGTCTTTTCTGATCCCCATGGCTGCCCAGTCAGTGCTTCCCACATAGGAGCTAACAAAACTCATTGACTATTTATACACTGACACTAATTGCAATTGAAAAAGCCACAGATGTGGGACATTAACCTTAATTGGCATTTTAACCCATGTGTGTCACCTTGTGTGTCTGTACCAAGGCCAAACATTCCAGCGGAGGGAAACTTTTGATCCGGGCTATTTGGGTGATTTCTGTTATCATTATGATTTAAAAAGGAGCCAAACAACTATTTGATAATAAATGGCTTCATATGATCATCATCCTTCAATAAAAGAGCATTTTTTGGCATGATCAGTCATATTTTCCATATCAATGCCAAAATTTCACAATTTCTGCCAGGGTATGCAAACTTTTGAGCACAACTGTATCTATGGTCTAGTTTAGCCATTCTCAGCCAGGCTTAATAGAAACCTCAAGGTACCTGCATAGTTCCTAGGGCCAATGCCACGTGGCAAAGTGGTGGCATACATCAATCATCTTTTTAACTGCCTGTAAAGTGGACATTTTGACCTCCACTGTAAGGGGGAACATCCTTTCACACTGACCACCAATGTAAGGGGGACATTCTTCCTCCTGACCACCAATGTAAGGGAGGGGGGCATTCTTCCCACTGACCATCAATGTAAGGGAGGAGGGCATTTTCTCCCCTGACTACTAATGTAAGGGGGGCATTCTTCCCACTGACCACCAATGTAAGGTGTGGGTGGGGGGGCATTCTTTCCATTGACCACCAATGTAAGGAGGACATTCTTCCCACTGATCACCAATGTAAGGGGATCATTCTTCTGGCTGACCACTAAAGTAAGAGGGACATTCTTCCTCCTAACCAACAATGTAGGGGGACATTCTTCCCACTGACTACTAATGTAAGGGAACATTCTTCTCACTGACCACCAGTGCAAGGTGGAGGAGGAGAATTATGCTCACTGACCGCCCAGTGTAAGGGGAACATTCTTCCCCCCTGGTCACCACTGTAACTGTAAGGGAGGTATTGTTCCCGCCAATGTAAAGGAGGGGGAATTTTTCCATTGACCACCATTGGAAGGGGGGGCACTCTTCCAAGTGATCAGCAATGTAAAGGGGGCCATTCTTCCTATTGGCCACCAATGTAAGGGGGGCATTCATTCCATTGGCCACCAATGTAAGGAGGGCATTCTTTCCAATGACCACTAATGTAAGGGGGTCATTCTTTCCACTGACCACCATTGTAAGGGGATGGACATTCTTACCAATGACCACCAAAAATACCACGTGTGTGTCCAAATGAGATGTATATATATATGTATATATATATATACTGCGTATATGTGTGTGTGTGTGTGTGTATATATATATATATATATACTGTGTGTATGTGTATATATATATATGTATATGTATGTGTGTATATATATATATATATATATATATATATATATATACTGTATATTTGGAAAGGTTTCTACTATAGATTCTAGCAGTGAGCATATGTGTTGTGTGGATAGAGAAAATCAGGAATGAATGAAGAAAGTGACAGCTGCTACACTCTGTGTATTGCATGCCATGTGTATTATCCGGAGATTTACAGAGATTGCCTGGGTATAGAGTGTCATTTCTTGTAGGAAGCATTGCCAGAAGCTGTGAGTAAGAAGTCATGATGACCATCGGTTATTCTGACAAATATCAACAAACTGGATTAGTGAGGCCAGCAGGTCATTATGATGTTAAGCAGATCTGGTCCTTCTATCATTAGTCAGAAGTGTTGTTAGAAATGCACAGACAGGGTGCAAGTTACATCTTTTGTACTTTGTTTTTTAATTCAGAGGTCTGCTACAGCGAAAGACATTATGCAGACTTATGTATGACTGTGCATCCTGAAGGCAAGATCCTAAGAGTGCATGTGACAGGCCACCCAGTGATTCAAACCTATAAAGGAAAGAGGTGATCACTGCAATATACTTGACAGATCATAGACAATACAGTTTGGTACTACAGGGAGCTGTATAGTGCTTCACTGGGGTGTGAGAACAGGTTCTCTTGACCATTGGATGTGCTCACTTGCCATACACAGAGTAAATTTCGAAGCCGAACTTTGAGCCATGAGTGGCTTTGTTGGTACCCTAGCTGCTCAACATCCTTCGATCAGAAAATCAAAGGAGTCAGTTAGAAAAATGTCAGCAGATCAGATGCAACCACTATTCGGGTATTCATTATGAGTGCTGGCTGTCAGAATACTGTAGCCGGCAGGGAGATTTCTTCATTCACATGGTTTAGAATGGATGGTAGAAGATAGATTTTCTCCCGTTCGGACCCATAGGTTGTGAATGGTCAGCTTAAGGCCCAATTCTCCAATGTGGCTGCAACACAAAAAACTATCCCTGACCTCTTCTTAACTGTGCATCTGTTTGGAGTAAAATTCTGTCTTGTTAATAATCTGTCTAATCTTCAATTCTAATTCAAGACAAAACAGAAAACATTTGATAGGTTGAAATGGTTGTGATGTTTATTTAAGGGGTGATCCAAAGTTTCAGCAAAGAGTCAATAAACCGACCATAAGCCAACATAGCCTAGCCTACAGCACATAGACAATAAACTAACCATAAAGCATAGTACACGTGATGACAATATTGGACGAATGATCGTTTGTTTGGGGTTTTTTGCATGCTACTCTCATCTCAACTAAGAGGTTACTAAAGTCATGGAAATTCTCCTAAGACAAAATACAACTTCAGAAATGATGTGATGTATTGTAATGCATTCTTTTGTTTCCGAGCATTCGTGGTCTTGGTCACTCAATTTTATATGGACAAATACTGTACTGATTAAACAAAAATC